TGCACATTCACCAGCTCAGGATATCATGGTATTCTGAAGCTGGTCAGTGCAACTGGGTGGGTCGAACAGCTTCGCTGTGGAGTTTGGAGATACGAGGCCAGAGTTTTCATTAGTCCCTCCTGCAGATGCTGTAACTCAGAAGATTGTTTCCAGTACCTCTGCCCACCAGCTTTTCCCAATTCAGCCCATTGCTTGTGGGAGATTTGTGCAAGAAGCCAATCTGCTATTCTAATGCAACTCAAAGCCAACTCCTTCAGCGGACAAAATACAGGCAGAGCAAATTTCATATCTGCTTTCCCAAGGTCCTTTCTCTCAAACAAATAAACAACAAAAAAAAAGTTTATTTTTATAGAGCTTGGCTTAAAAAGCCAGACTTGGAAATGTACTGAGTGGAGCAATTCTCCAGCACCACCCAAAACTAGCCAGCAAAGGAAAGCTCGCCAAGGCTGTTAATTTGACGGCTGGGGGGGAAACGAAACCTATTGCTGCCATCTGCACAAAGGAAACAGAGGCAAAGCAAAACCCTGCTGTGTGAGCAGAAAGAAAGGTTCAGCACAGCAGAGACAACACAAACCATATGAGACACTTGTTAAACCCCCTCCCTGCGTCTTTTTCCATCACTAAATGCTGCAGGACAATGATCAATCTATTCAATAGAAGCTTCAAACAAGACCCCCAGGACCATCAGTGGTGCAGGTCTCTGTTTTCCTACAGATTCGAGCACATTGAGGCCCTGCTCTCTGGTAAATCTTTAAGACAACATGAATAGTTTGCATACTCTGAGCCCCACAGATGGTTTGGATCTAAAGACCTTCTGCAGACTGCAGTGGTCACGAAACCCATCCTCACAGCAAGAATTTGGGATGCACCACATTTTTACTGTTGCTTGTACTGCTCAGTTTGTGAAGCAGAACAAAAAATTGAGCTTTTAAAAAATAAAGCTAATTTGAAAAGAGCTTGATCTACTGTGAGCTCTTGGTTCAGTTCATTTTACCCCAAAGGTGAGTGTGTGGGCTATTGTCCAGGTGAAGCAAACCTCTCCCTCAGCAATCCTGCCCTGGTGGGGGTTAATCTGCAATCACCTCTATCTGTGGCCCGGGCCCCTACAGCTGCACCAACATCTTGGGCTGGAAAGCTGGCAGGAATACCTTGGTAGTGCACCAGGAGGCTCTGGGAATTTCATTACATTTTCCACTCGCCCAGCGTGTCTCCGGAAGGCCATCTACGGAAGAGAACAGAACCAGCGTGTTGCCGCCCAACCCTCTGGAGTTTCTCCTTTCACACCCTCTGCCAAAGCACAAACACCCTCACCCCAGGCCAGATCCTCATCTTCTTTATACAGCAAAACCCAAAATCCACAAACATCAGCTACAGGCTCTTGCTGCAACATCTACTGACCACCAATACCAAGGGGGACAAGTCCTCCCCTCCTGCCTACAGCAGTGCTGAGCACTGATTCTCCACGGCTTCCAAATGAAGTTATAAGAAAAAAAAAACACATCCCAGTACTGTCCCTGGAGTAGAGGGACTGGCACTCCCACTTCCAGGCTCTAGGACATGTTCAGGCTTGTTGCAGCCTGTCCCTCAAGTGACACTTGCAGTGGTGCCGTGGCATTCCAGCACTTTTCACTTCAGCTTTGAAAGAAGCTGCAATTCGCAGAGCTGGCAGGGGCAAGGGGTGAAGAATTTATCAGCTCTGCAGTTCATTTGAGAGAGGGCACACACAAAATGCAGCTCAGCTGGATTCATTCATCTCCTCATCAGAGCAGATGTGAGGATATCCGGTGACCTTGTTGAAAACAGACTCACCTGGAGAGATTCAGAGATTTGTACTGAAACCAGAACTCTTCCAGAGAAAAGTTTGCACTAAGTGATTGCAAAATTCTCCTTGCAAACAAAAAAATCCTCCTGCAAATAACAGACCACCAGCAGGGTCTCACACACAGAGACATCTCTATGCTTACAGGATACAGAACATTTTCACAGGAGCCAGAAAGAGGAAGAAAAGGTGTAAGACTCAGGAGTCCTCACTCCATGCCTGGTAAAGACCGTTCCCTCCTTACAGGAGCATGGGTGTCACTTTTTCATTATGCTCCCAAGACCTGGGGGACAACCAAGCAGACGTCCTGCCCCAGGCACCAAAATGTCATTTGGCAACCTAATGAGGGGTTTGGAGTGAGAGTGTCCCCTCCAGATGTGTCCAGGAGGGACGTGGCACCCCGGGGCTGCGTGCGCGAGCGGCCTCAGCGCTGTGCCCCGAGCTGACGGACAGCTGTGGTGTGAGCAAACCTCTCTCAGCAGGACTGTCTAACTCCAACTTAAAAACTGAGCTTCTGTTTCAAGTCAGATTTTCCCCTGATGTGCCTCATCCTGCCCAGAGACAAAAATAGAGGAAGTGAGAAAACAGACCTTTATTACCAACTGCAATCCCCACTGCCCAGCAACCAGCTCTACGCTCCCTGTCAGCCTTGCATAAAGAGAAAATAATAAAACCAACAGCCCGCACTACCCACAAAATAAAATATAGACAGCATGAGCCTTTATGCAGCTCAGTCACCACGTGTCTGCAAGCTGAGCAGAGGAGAGCTGCAATCCTTGTCCTAGACACTGTCTAACCTCTGCTCTGGCGCTGAACGTGCTTCAGGAGGCGACCACAACCGTGTCATTAGGTAAACTGGGTCTCCTGTCTGTCCTGCTGGATAGGATGACCCCTTTCCAGGATTCCTCATTATTCACCTACACATAGTAGACCATTTATAATTTATTTTTTTCCCTGCTGGAAAGGAAAACAAAAGCCAGTGGATTCAGTGGTGAGGATAATGCAATAGTTCCATGAGGGCTAGGCTGCCAGGCTGTGTGCAGTTGTGGTGGGGAACATGAGGAGGGCTGCAGGCTGCTCCTGGCACTGCCGACCATAATTACCCCTAACCAGATCATGGTTACACCCTGTTCCCTGCAGCACTTGGGATTTCCAGACTGAAACACATCACAGACAGATATGGAGGCTGTTTCTCTCCCTCCTAATGTCCACAGCGAGGCTTAAGGGGTCCCAAGTCCACACAGGACTGCTTATGCAAACCTGGTATTTAACAAATGATTTGGATGAGCCAAAGTAAATAGGCAATGGGGACACCATGGAAAACCAAAGAGCAGTTTTAGCTGAAGGACCTCATTATGCCTTCACAATATTTTATGAGGAACACATTAGCCCTGAGCAAAAAGTGTGAGGAGATAAATCTCAAGTCATTATATAAAAGATATATGAACAGCTCCCCAGACCACCAGAGACACCCACCTTCTCCCCATCCATGGACTTTAAGGAGAAAGGGCAAAATGTCTTTAACTGTCTCCCATCCCTTCTGTGTCCCTGCCCTGCAACAGCTCAGGGCAGCACTGCAGTCTCCTGGATGGAGCTGGGAAGCACTTGGACAAACAGAGCAGCACTGCTGGCCCTCAGCACATCCCTGGGGACGAGCAGCACCTCCCTGCTGGGCACTTGCTGTGACACTGGAGCCCCAGAGTCTGAGCTCCGGGGAGCACGTTCAACCTCTGGCATATAACCCTGCAATCCGATCTCCCCGTTCCCATGGGGCCATCCCTTCCCGCCTCCAAGGCTCCCTACCCTGGGCACCAGCTTAACCCACCTGCTCTGAGCTGTTAGCTGGTCAAGTGTGCTCTTCTAACATGGAATTTATCTGCAGTTTCTGGGATGCTGGCACAACCTGCCTGCCTAGGATAGGCAGGGTCAGTGGGATGAGAGCCTTCTGGAGCTGCTGCAAAAAGAGGCCACGGTCCAGTGAAGCATTAACCCCCAGGACCGCTCCCAAAGCAGGCAGCAGCAGTCCAGGCAGGAACTGGGAAGGCAGTGAGATGTTCCCACAAACAGGCCAGCCCTTTGGCAGCTGGGGGCAGGAGGGCCAGGGCGGCACAAACACGAGCTCTCATAAGGCCATAAAGAGCTTCTGTTTCCCCACACGCTGCAGCAGCGGCGGCGAGGCGGAGGCAGGGAAAGAGCAGTCCCGGGCCACGTGGCAGGTCAAACCACCGCCCAGTTTGTTGGCACCCTCCAAAGTTTAAATGCGCTTTGAGCCAGCAGTGAATCATCCCTGGCAGGTAAGAATGATATTAATTTATGACATGCCAAGTGCAAGCAGATCTTTTGGTGTCAGTCCAATGGTTTTAGCCTTATTAACACGCGGCGATGGCTCAGGTTGCAGCTGTGCACATTAAACTCTGGCAAGTGGCATTTTAAACAATGACAAACTTCAGAACAATCACTCCACACATGGAGCCAGGCCAGGCAAAACTGAAGGGTGGCAGAATAAAGGTCAAGGGGGGGAACCTGTTTGTCTGGGAGAGGAACAGGTGGCCCGCTTGGCTTGCTGCAGGGTCTCTAAACCGTCTGAAGGACACAGTCAGGGATCTTTTTAACCCATTAAGCTGCTTAAGCCTTCCTTTACACCAGTCGGAACTTCGAGAAAGCATTAAATCTTAAAGAGCTTAGTAATACATCTTTAGGAAAGCTCTCCCCTGTGCTTATGCATCCAGAGTGCACATGCTGCACTGTGCACAGGCACATCCTTCCCGTGACAGCAGGACCCCTCTGGCAGCTGAGCCAGATCCAAGCAGCTAACACACAGAAAGCTTTTCAGTAAAGCCCTGCACCAGAGCAGAATGTCACACTGGGACACAGACAACAAGGGGAACATGTCCCCAGCACTACCGTGCCACTCAGCAGGCCCGAGGACACAGTCAGAGAGAAAAACTTCTCCTCACCAGTTCCTCCCTCACCAGCTTCACACAGGACATGGAGCAAACTGCAGTGCTGGGACCTTGGGATGTGCCCATGGAACTCAAACCACATCCAGCAAGGAGGGCTGTGACAGACAGTGACTTCTGAGGGCAGCTTCTTACCTTAACACCCAGGCAGAGCAAAGTCGGTCCAAACCATTCCTGCCAGCTGTGTTTGTACCAGAAAATAGAATGATGGAGACATAAAAGACATTTTCATGGCAGGAAACATAAATATTCCATGCCATGTTTCAAAGCTGTATTTCTCAATTTGAAAAACATCAAAATAGGTTTTTTTTAAGTGTCAAAAGCCAGATGTTTCAGAATAAAACAGCAGAATAAGACCTGACATGTAACAATGTTTTCCAATGCAGTGCTTCCAAACCAGTTGTTTTCACAATTTTTCATTTGCCCCCTCTCCACCCAGTCTTATCCTTGCAAGTAGAATTTTTATTTTCCAACCAGGTACTTCCCAAAAGAAAGAATTTTGAGCAATAAATCAGATCTTGTTAAATAAATAGAAGGATTTAGCTACACACAAGGTCTGATCCAAAACAGAACAGGGTGTAAATTTATAAAGAAATAGTTCTCTCAGATTTAAATACCAGGTGTGTGGATATGTTTATTCCCAAATGAAATTAAAGGAATTAAATTCTTTCGTAACAAGGCACTTTTATTCTGGAATAGGAGCATCCACATATGAAATTAATCAAGAATAGCTAAAGCCACAGTAAGGTCTCAGGCTACTGACTGTAAGTGAAAACAGTAAATTCATTCTGCCTCTTGCAGTTCCTTGCTACATAACACACCAGATCCCCCTGGATAAATGTTCCTGTAAGTAAAAGACCAGTCCCAGCATGTCTGTGAACACCTCATGATAATACTTCAATGAGATGGACTGGAATCAATATTTTCCATCTTGGCAGCTCGGGGCCAGCGAGCAGGAGCTGGGCAGGGCGGGCAGCCAGCGCGACACCGGCGCGGCGGGAGCACAGCAGGCACAACACTGACCTGGAAAGACATTTCTAGCTAGCAGGTATCAGTTCCTGCACCATCTGAGCCTCCTGGAGGGAGGAGGGAAAAAGGAGATAATTAAATAGAGGTTTTCAATTCAAACCTTCTCCAAAGTATCTTTATAGGGATCAGACAGAAGTTTGGCTACAGTCTAGACCGAGCTACTGGAGAAATTCGAGCCCCCACGTTTCATCATGGAGGCTTAAGGGCCAGGATTAGATACTGCTAGATCTAAAAACCTGATACAAAATACTGATTTAATATACATTAATTCATTAATTCAAGTTAGATATCCCTCAGTTCATCTGCAGCCAGAACAGAACATGTATTTGTGATCCAGGTCATTGTGCAGAAATGCGATTAGGTGGTGTCTCTGGTGGAGCACAAACCTGTGTCACTGTGCAGGTAACAAACTGCTCCAATATTGGTCATAACAGGGTCTGTTTTCCAACCAGAAAGCAGAACAACATTTTCTGGTCAGGGGTGAGGACTGAGGGAGGAAACAAGGGCTATTATTTACAACTATACAGGCAGAGAAACAGAAGAGGCATTACACTGTGAAGAGTAATGAGTGTGTCAGAAGTATAAAATCAATCTTAATTCTACAAAGATGTAAGATACAACTAAACTCCCTATTGGGCAGTTACTCAGTTTTTATAGAAACAAAGATATAGAACAGCAAGGTGTGAATATAGAGAATAATTAATCTTGGTACTTTTAGACACGGGGTTCTCTACTGCCTACAACCCACTGTTTTTTATCCTGCTTTAAAAGGAGCATTTACCTGGAATTCATATAGGAGACCTTGCCAGCCCTATTCCAAGCCAGGCTTTCTGAAGAAAGTTAAAGCTGTTTCTCTTGGTAATTCTTCTCTTCATGTATCATCTCCATTGATTCAGCTTTTTGCAAAATGAAACTGGAGAGCCAACAGAGACACAGCAAAATCAAAGGCAGCCAAATTCAAGGCCATGCTCAGACTGCTTTGGAACTTCAGCGCCAGCAAAGCAATCACAGTTATCACAAACTGACCCAACAATATTCAGCTTGATTCTTCTAATGGCTTGAACAATAAAAGTCAATGGTTAGACCTCTGTAGTACACAGGAAACCTAGTAAGATTTAAATGATAGCTACAAGTGCCAAATTTTAGGAATTCAAAACACAAAAAAAACCAAAATGGGGCATATTTGATACAATTAGTTGATATTTACCCCTAGAAGGAACACTGGTCGTCTTCTTAAATTTATTTTTTCACAAGATCTGGGCAATGCCGTCAGCATCTTTAGACCGTACCTGCATTTTGTGATGAATTATGAGCTCTCTTTCTCATTCCTAAACAAAATGTTAGTGTTCCCAGTGGACCCTATGTGCACCAAAATGGGATTTAACAATGCATTTTTTTGCTTTCTTAATCAAATAGCTTGATTTGCTGTTATAATAGTGCACTTAGAGAACATTCATAGTGCTGATCAATAAACAAACACAGTATTGCATTTTTCATTACAAGAGAGCTTTCTCAACTGATCTTGAGAAAAAAGATTAACCCTCCTAATAACTTGGTGAGGTTCACAGCAAATGACAGCAGAACACCTTGGGGTGTCCTGTGGCAGGGCCAGGATTTGGATGATGCTATGGGTCCCTCCCAGCTCAGCACACTCTGTGATTTCATGGCCAGTCCTCAGCACGTGGCTGTGGTCATATTTAGCACCAGGACAGGGCTCCACGAGTGGCAGCTCTCTCTGGCAGAAAGAGCCAGTCAATATTTACATTCCTCATGAACATACAAAAGAGCATCAGGGTACTTGAGAAATTAGCCCTTGATTGCCACTTGGAAGGCATCATCAGAAAGGCAAATCACTTCAGCACCTCCAACAACAGAACTGTTCTTGAGACTCAAGATCTCTCACAGATGTGTCAAGGTCTTTGGGAGCAGGAGGTGCCTGAAGGGCACAATGGGTGCTGAAAGAGCCTGACGTGAGGGGTTTATTATTTAAAATGTGAAAAGATAAAAAAAGCATATGGTCAACTCCTGCTTTCTTTCTTGCTGAAGCAGCAGACAGAAATCTGATAGTCCTGAGCCAGCTAGAGGGACGATTGGTGGGGTTCTTCAGTGCAGGACAGAGAGGGTTCTACTGCAACATTAAATTGTTGCTGAAGTTGGGGGACACAGATACAGTGGGTTCAACCTGGCATTCAAGTTTTCAAAATGTCACCACACAGAACAGCCCTAAATCTTGGCTTAGAAGTCACAAAACATCCAGTGCCTTTCCAAGTGAGATCTCAGCTCCTCTCATTTCCTGCATACAATAGCATTATTCACTCACTGAAGTTTCCACTTAGCTTGCATTTATGCCAAGTACTTTTAATTGCAAAGGAAAAGGATGTTAAGCTCTCCCCTTTCTTTCTTTCTAATTCATAAGGGACACATCAGTGGCTGGTAAAAGTTATAGGTTAAGGGTTGTTCTCCCATTTATTAAGGGACTCACATCCTCCTCCTGCTGCCAGGCAAACAGAGGTTACCTCCATTGCAAGGGCAGGAAAAGTTACCTTGTCATTTGTAAAATACAAAAAAGGCAAATAATTGTAAACTAACGACCAAACAGGCTTCAGGGAAGTCTGGACAGCACCTGAAACTGCAAGGTTTCCAACTGATCTGAGTGACCTTGGCCACCACAGGTCTCAATGGAGAACAGATATTGAGTATTCACCCAACACACTCACAGAAATCCAGGCAGCATCCAGCTCAAAGAACTCATCACAACATGGAGAGCAGCAGCTTTGACTGAAGCAAAATGCTGCATAGCAAGGAGTGAAACAACTGGAAAAACAGATGCTTAATTTCTACTTATTTTTGGCAGCCTTGTTCCCATGATATCTGTTAAATGAGGAAAAAAAGCTGCTGAATGCTGCTTACTAAGGAATCCATGAACCACAGCCTCATCTCTGGACTGTCAGGGTGGCAGTACAGCCCTACAGAAACTTATTTTCCTTTTGATCAATCCGTGGAAGGGTCTGAAGTAACATTTCCATATGGGTTTTGTTCCTATTATGCAAGATCTGATGAACTACATTGTCTGAGACAAAGGGATTAAATGAATTGAAGTGGTGTTTTGGGCTTGGGAGTGTTTTAAGTGTCTTCACCCCACCTCTTCAGCCTTGGGACAAGAGACTTATTAGCTAATTACCATGCAAATGAACTGAAATGTAAATTAAATGCTACATTCTAACATAGCTTAATAGTCCCAGGAGCAAGAATTTAGTTAATTTTAATGAATGGTAATTCTATCCAAAAATATAGTTTATTAACAAGCACATACAATAATTCGCACCACTAACTTTAAATAAACCATCTAGCAAGCTCACCTTCACACTAAGTGACATTTGGTTAATACAGAGCAAGAAAGCAATGCACATGTGCTTTCCACAGACACAGAATGAACTCAGTTGCAAACAGAGTTCAAGTTATAATCCAAAAAAGGGCACATAAAAGCAAAAGCAATGAAGACTTCACATGAACATTGCCATTTCTTTCCACCAGACCTTCGGTCTCCTACAAAATAGATCTGTAATACAAAAAAGTAATAAAAACTCTGGATTCAATTTATTCAGCCTCTTCTATCACAAGTTAACCATAACATTTTGCAACAACATGAGTAGTATTAAGAGGGAGGTAAGAGGCAAAGATAGTCACATCTTGGAATTATGGAAGTGCAGCTGCAGACAGAGCAGCAGCCATGGATTCTGGTGTCGTCCCAGTTTTTGCAAGAAATACAAAGATGGCAACACACATTCCTCCCTCTCATCAACTAGAACTTGACCCATCATCCACTGACATCAGGGCAAAAATTCTTCTGTTATCAGTGGTATTGTGGTGGGCCAAAGTGGCCCTGAAAAGCCAGTTGTCCTCTCTAGTGACAGGTTTGTCACTGCAGGCTTCAGCTGGGCTGGGCTGGCAGTAGAACCTGACACGCTGCTCCCACACGGGTGTTAGAACAGTCCTGTGCTCCCCTCAATGCCAGAAAAAGGGATTCAGCAGAATTCAATCTGCAGGAATTGAAGCCAACTTGGCAATAAACAGCACTGCTCTGCTCAGAGCAACATCTCAACCTCACCACAACCAAGTAAATAGAAGGTTTGTAATGAACCGTGGTAAGAGCCCAGGAGAAGCATCAAAACAGAAAAATACACATTTCTTTATATTAGACCTTGCTCTTTGCACAGGAAAGGGCATTTCTGATCCTCTGAGAGATGATGAGGAAGGTTCCCAGGAAATGTGCTCTGAATGTAACAGTGTCCATGGCAAAAGCCCTCAAAAGGATTTTTAAACAAAGCCAGAGATTCCTCCATTTCCTTCATGGCAGAACCAAAAGCTACCTCTATATAGGGTTGGAATTTTATTAACATGGTGCTTACTATCACAACTTAAACAAAAGTTATGGCTGTGATCCCTAATTATAATTGCAGTTAATCTTTACTTAGAAAAATTTTATAGCAGTATCAATGGGTTAAAGACTTATTTTATCTCATCCCTCTCCTGCACCTTTCTCTTTGTAATGCCTTGAGAAAAAAGAAATCAAAAAACTTTTCCTGCTTCCACCCTAAGTGAAGAATTAAGATCTACTGTTAACAAAAAACCTTTTTAGATGGCAATTGTTTTCAACATCTGGCACCTGATGTTTTGCAGTACACAGAAAAAATTACCTAGGTAGGAGCTAACCTGACAAACCAGAGCAAGAAATCAAAAATTACCCAGAAACAAACCAACTACAGAGAAGTCCAAGCACTGGGGCATCTTGAAAAACCAGTGATGCACAGTTCAATCAGCAACAAAATCCCTCTCTGCAATTTGCATAGCTGGCTCTCATGCTTGCTGGTTATGAAATACTCTTACAGCAGAACAACTTTAGAAAAATTTGGACAAGTGAGAATGGAGTTATTTTAATCTAGAAGAATATCACCCAAAGATACAGATGAATACAAACACTGTTCATACAAAAAAACCCCAAAACATCAAACATGAACTTAAGCTGCATTCTCAGTCTATATATTGGCTTTCCCCTTCTTTGTTTTATAAAAATAGGGTATGACATTTCAGCTTCAATTGCATGTTTAAGTCATTTATTTATTGAACATTCCATTCTTGAAATATCATCTATTAAAGTGTTAGTTAAGATTCATCCTGCTTATAGAACAGGCTAAGTTTCTTCTGAACTGCACTTGGAGACAATAATAAAGAGACTGATGCAGACTCAATAAGAAATAATTAGATTATGGGAAGAAGAAAAAAAAATAAATAGTTATAATAATAAAATCAAGCTTCACTCTTCTTGACTCCTAATAAAACAAATGCTGATGTCTTTTAGGTGATCACAGCCAGATTTAACTCCAAAATAGTATTTACAGACTGAATTCAGATATAAACTGTGATTTCAAGTCTACAACTTGCTATAAAAAGAGGACAAAAACTTCCAAGAAAACATCTCCTTCAAAGACAGAGGAAGCCACAGTAAAAATTAATACTGAAAAATCCCGATCAGAGTATTGTATAAAAATTAACATCTGTAACACTACCATAGCTTTTAGCATCTGTTTTTACAAAAGTGGATTCTGTCCTACACTTGCACATTTCTGATACAGATATAATTGTACACAGGCAGGTTACATCTCAGCTCTGAGGTACTGAAGGAAAAGGATAAAGCTGAAGGTGGATTTTGCTGCCTCAGCAGTGAACCCTGTGGGGTGGCTGGGCCTGCTGGGATTCCAGCATGGAAACAAACCTGGGAAACGACACAGACAGAAATCCAAAAGCACCAAGGCTGCTTGGAGATGGCTCTTTCCCCTACTGCAAAGCAGATTCAATAAATGGATTTATTTTAGAAAGTTTCACAATTCTTAAGCAGTAGATGATACTTGCATTCCTGAATGATTAAGTTCTACATTTCTTAATGCTACTTCAACTCTCTAAAACCAACCCAATAAAACCAGGAAAGATTTTTACAAGTTACATGCACAACCTAAAAATTCCACCCTCAAAACTGCCTTTTTGGTACTCTTTTAAGCTCTTAAGATACTCTATTTATTGAAGAGATGCCAGGAAGCCTGCAGAGGGAACAAATGCTTCTTTGGCAACAGGAAAACATTTTAATGCCTCCTGCCTTCAAAGTACGCACACCTCACCACAACATATGCTAATACACTACCAAATAAGTCTCTTTATCTTGCCATTTTTATAACAAACTGTTTCATTCATATCTATTTCAGCTTGTAACTACCTACTGCACAAAGCAGCACACTGTGCTAAATCAACAAGTGGTTTATACCTAAGAAATAGAAAGTAAAAAAAAGAAGAACAAATTATATTTTAAAAATATTATATATTCAAAAACAAATCAAAAGGGGCCGATCATGTATAAACTGTTTTAGTATAAAATCAAAATGTTTAGTCATGTAGGCATTTTGGGCCTTTTTTCCATCCTTCATTCTTTATTTAAAATAAACAAGATGTAACAAAAAGAGATTCCCACAAATATGATAGTGAGTGGCAATTTGCACCAAATCTGCCGTTAATGTATAAAAACAAATGTCCCAGCCCTTCTGTGCAGGTATCCATGTGTGCAAATATACCTGTGCATGGAGATACACACCTGCTCCTGGACTTCCAGCCTTCTCCAAGGCACACAATCCACTGACACACTTGGACAAATCAGCCAAATGCTGAATCTAGGAAAAGATCAAGACCAGCTCTTTGCAGATCTATAGCCTGCAACTGTAAAAATACAATAAATATAAAGGTTTACTATCATATTACTAGTTGGATTTTTTCCAAGGGAAATTGATACTTAAAGTTGTCTTCTTCCTGAAGAATTCCATGGAACAAAAGGAGAACTATTTCTAAAAATAAAGCAATGAAAATAAAGACAACACACCCTCAAACATGCTGGAGCAAGAGTCCTTAGTGTAGGCATCAGTACCAGCCTTCACTGAAACAGGATCTTCAGTCTCCAGACATATCCTAGTTACTCCCATTAAATAACTGTGGTATTTAATGATACTAGAAAGAAAGATCTGCTTTTAGCATGTGGATTTAAATACCACAGAGAACTGTCAAAGACTTGGTATACAACTGGGATAACTCTGCTGCAGTAAACATTAAGATGAGAGAGAGAAAGTAAGGCTGAATTCTATGGAAAAGTCACTGGGATCCATCAAAGGCTTCTGCAGGCTTACATCAATACACCTGATTGCAGCTGTACAGGGGAAGAGGATAGGGATGAATAAGTCAAAATTTGTTTGCCATAACTGAACTTTTCTTTTTCCAGTTAGAGGAATGCAACTGCCTCAAATGATGCAATGGGTCAACCTGAAATCAGGCACATTTGAAAAATACTGGAAATCCTGAAGTCAGAGCCTGTGAATGTGTTTGGTTTGTGTGCTGCCTTGGAGGAGAAAGAAATTAATACTTTTAAAAGCTCGGTATTTACACTTCTGAAAAGTTCCTGCAGTTCATCCAGATTTGATAGGGCAGGATTTAAGTGCCTCAGAGTGTTCCTGACTGGGCACTTCTGCTGCTTTGGCACAAGCACACACGGTATTCCAGTACCACAGGGACACGGCATCGAACGCAGCTTTACACTGGCACCACTCCTGAGGAGGTTGAAATGTTTATCAACTCAGTAGGTCAAAAGTCTGCAGACACTGGGTGGAGCAGCAGTATGCCACAAAACTAACAGTTGTCCTCCTAGAAGAAAAAAAAAAACAACAAAAGGGGAGGGGGGGAACAGTTGTCAGTAAAGATTAAAGCTCCTGGCTGCATTCCACACAGACAACGTGCTGGTTTGTAAAATACAGGATTAGCCCATCTCCACAGCCCAGAAAAAGCACAGGTTCATCTGCTGTCTCTGAGTGCCTGACACCAAGGCAGGGAAACACTGTAGGGGTTCTCAAAACCTTCCTGGTTTCTTATGCACTGGGTTTAGAGCAGCAGTGTGTGGTTTTTCTCTCTGAGCAGGGTGTGTCTGAGTGTCACAGCCAGCAGGTTTAGCAGCTGACAGGAAAATAGCTGGGCAGCCTCGGCCCTGCTCGTGTGTTTCTTAAATTACTGCTTGTAGGCATGCCATGACTGAAGGGCAGTGTCCTCCCTGGTTAGCAGAGTGAACAAGCAGATCTTCAGAAAGGATGAGTGACAGGCAGTGCTGTCACACCGTGCCACGCAGTGCAGCAGGGATGGCACTGAGCAAGTGTGATCCGAGCCTCACAGTGACCCTGCTCCTGCTCCAGCCTGCCAGGGACTGAGAGATCTGCCTTCAAAATGTTCAGATCTGTTCTTCACTAACCCAGAAATCACACTTTACCCAGTGCTCATGGCATCTGTGCTTCTTCAGCTACAGAAATCCAGTCCAACACGTAACTCTCCTTCCCTCTAAGAGGATACAGAATGTGATACGGAAATCCAGGCAGGAGTTACTGGCATGGATGTGGCATGTGCTAATCAGTGCTGTTCAAATGCCCAGGATCCTACCCTGTGTGTTTTCATGGTCACTTTAAGCTGTTTAGAACAGAAACCCTGTCCTTCACATCTTTCTAAACCAGCTATCACACCTCCACAATTCCACATAATCTTACCACGTCAAGTGCACAAGCTACAGAGATAAGGATGACAGGCTGCCCTGTTTAGATCTCATTTTCTGTGGATTTGCATCAAATGTCAGCTACTTAAGATTGGATTCATTAAAGGCATTTTGCAGAACACAGTACATTCTTGTCTAAGGGAAGAAATGATAACTATTTTTGAAACAAGTGAAAACCATGCAGAAATACGTATTTTTAATTATTACATTTTTGAATGTTAATATAGTGTTCTTCCAAAACAGCTCTAAAGTATGTTTTTGTGGAGTCTTAAATTTTATAATTCCTGAAGGTGTCTACTGATAATGTCTATCATCTTGTAACTGTATCTTCTACAATGAGCAATGCTTAGCAATTAATTACAAAGTAGTCCAAACTCTCACATTGTTGAATTATTCAGGATAATAGATGGATTTAGTGACTAGCCAGTAGTTTTCCATCATTTTCTTAGAAAATGATACTGTTGAATGTTTGAAAGAGATTCTTTATAGCATGATTATAACATGACTAAGAGTATTATGACTGTAATATGGAAGTTAATTATTTCACTCAACATGAAATCCACTGAATTTCGACATATGACTGAAGTGTAACAGAGTGGCAAATTGAAGTGTGCAATCTCTGCAATCAGATCTTTCTAAGAAAGATGGCTTTTCCAAAATAGCATTTATGCAGCCCTCTGGCTGCTGCCCAGATTTGGCATACCTAAGTTGTTTCATTTCATAAAGCTGAATTGCTTACAAATCAGATGCTTCTCATGTTACAAACTCACAGCAAAACAGGCTGGGATACAGCTGTGTAAAACAGGTACCATCAACCTGAACCACCCATTAGTCTCTGCTCTTTTATTGATGATCTTCCTATGGAAAAACAGCTTCTTCTTTTAATGAAGATCAAATCCACTATCAAATCAATGGATTTCCACAGACCAGGAACTAAGTGGTGTTCCTGCATTAGACAGGAACTTATACTTTAGGTATATGCTTTGTAATTAATGGCTTGACTTGAATTCTCTAACAAGAATCTAACATCACCTTTGCTTGTTTAACTCCAAGTGACTAAGCTTTAAACTCCCTTTATTACCTTTCAAATAGCACAAGCTGAAATTCCTCAGATGATGCTTTTCCACTGCAGAAACTGGATTAATTGATATTATGGCTCATGGAAGGCTACAGTATCCACTCAGACTATTAAGGATTAGGGAAAGAATCACTGCAAAGCAATCAGGGCTCACCTTAAAGGTATTTTATATCTTTATATACATGAAGGCAACATTCCCTGAACCATATCCCTATTTTGAGTCCCTTCTATGACTGTACTGTCCAGTAGGCCAGCAAGTCTGTGTGGGCTTGTGCACTTGACTTGTGAATCTTGTAGACACTCTCACAACTGCTACAACCATAAAACTGAAGTATTATTAAAAACATGTATTGCTACAAAATGTATGTTCCTATGCAGAATGCTTCCACAGCATATCTCAGTTAATTAGTGTGGAAATTAAAACAAGAGTATTTTACTGCAGAACATTTTAATTAAGCTCTAGCTTTAGAATTTTTTTCCATCTTGATCCTGCAGCACTTTTTGTTTGGAGGTGGCAATCTGAATTCAGAGACCATCAGGGCAATTACTGGTGTTAGGTACCACTTCCTTCCCAGGGCACAGAGCTGCCAGGCATGTGCTGCACTACCACAAACAGCTCAATCCATCCTATCCAAACCCCTTCCTGTCTCACACCAGGCTGAGACAAGCATATCTGAACACCCTTTTAAGAGTCTAACAGAAATATTTTGGTTGACCCATGAATAAAATATTTGTCAACATATACATGCAATCACAGGCTAGGGACTTTAGATCTGAAATGCTAAGTTTAAAAAAAATATCCTTAAGAATATGCTTTGTTCCATAAGGTGTTTTTCTTCCTAGATGAAACCCCAGTGTAATTTCCTGCATAATTACCCTTGATGCAATCCTGCCATTGGAGTTTCCCTCAAGGGAAAGAGCTTTGGGTAGACAATGGTAAACATAGGCTGGCTGCAGCGGTGGCAGTGTCCCAAGGGACAGTGCAGCAATTCCAAGAGGCTTTTGGGTAGTGAGATTGGAGTCAGAAAGTTTAAATCTAGAGAAGAAAAGAAACAAAAAAATATTTATAATAAAATGATTGCATGATAAAGGCAAACACAAGCACAATTCATGAACAATTCAGAAAATAGCTGCCTCACATTCTTAAGGTTTTGTCAAAACAACAATGAGGTAATACAAATTACCACAATTAGAGTGAGGCACATAGTGCTTTTCATGTCTAAATTCAAAAGGTTGAAGTTAAATGTACAAGCTTAGCATCTGTGGGAATAAGTTTAACTGGGCTAAAATACCCAGGTGAAAATATTATAGTTTGAGCAAATATTAGAAAGGATTAAAAGATAACGAAGGATTTTTAGACACAGATATCTAGACATGTTTAGTAACTAATAGTAATACATTATGAAAAGGACATCAGTAGTATTTTATGAAAATATTTCAGCAACCAATCCAGCAGGATAGCTAACCTCACTACAAAGCCCAAACTCCATCATCAGCAAAAAGAGATTTGCAGTATTTGGAATTACTTGAAATTCAATCCAGCCCAGCATAATTCTCACAGGCCCAACCAAAGAGACCACTCTAAAAAGATCAATACATTGCTCATCTGTTAAATGTTCCCCCACAGCCTACAGGATGCCATCATTTTCACCAAAAGGGACTCCAGGGTCATTTCCTGGGAAAGAGCCATCACTTTCCCAGGCCTGGCCCAAACCACACAGTGTTTTATAAATTAAACCCCACATGCTAATCTCTATCTAGAAACTGAGAGACAGCAAGACAGGTGAGTGAGTTTAGGTGCTGAGTAATCAAGACAAGATGCAGTACTTGATAAATCAGTTTTATGGTATCACACTGGTTTCAGCTTTCCACCTCTGCAAGGTTGAACCCCAGACACAATGTACCACAAGGGCCCCAAGGAGGGGACGAGCAGGACATGTGCGTCACAAAGAAAAGGTCACACTCTGCAGCCAAGCAAAGACTGAGGAAAAGTAGTCCAGTCACTTCTGTCACTTCCCCAGCAGCTGCCAAGTATTTAACAGCACTCTTGAAACTGCAAATTTAGGCAGTGACAGATGAAATCTGCTACTTTAATCATATGTGCCACCTGCTTCCCCAGCACAGCATTATCATACACCTGCCTGACACAGGCCCTGCTCCTGCTCACCAAAGCTGGGCTGTTGCAGTGCTAATGCCCACAGTCTTTAATAAGGTCACTCAGAACAGGACACAGCTATGGCTGGGTGTTTATGGATATATAAATCCATCTTTTTCAGGTTCTGCATCTTGGCTGAAAATGGGTGTAACCCTCACAGCCTTGTATAAAACTGTTTACAAACCATCCCTTAAACTGATTCTGCAGTACCACTTTCCCATTCCCACACCAAAGTTCACTGGCATCTTCAGGAACCACATCCACACAGCTGGATTCCAGAAATGACTGTGCAAGTCACAAGTGGGTGAGAAAAGGGAGACTCCTTGTGCACTTCTCCTGGTGAAGCAGTGAGGATTTACTCCAGGGGCCAAGGTACAAAGAGACCCTTTCCATAACCCCTCTAATCCTCCCACTGGAACTCTCCACTCTTCCGCTTTCTCCTTTGACCTTTAAAGCTGAGAGTTCCCAAGATAGCATCAACAGTGGGGAGTCACAACACATCCAGATCTGAGAGGATCTGCAGGTTATCATCAGATATTGCTAACTCATGTGATTGCATGATGCAGAACCAGATGAGCCAAGGGCCACTTTAGAGCAGAGAGCCTGAATTGGGGCAGAACTAAAGCAGCTCAGCTGTCACGCTGTGCTGAAATGGCCGAGGGCTGCTCGCATTTCTTCTGCCTTATGTATAACAAGTCTGCCAGTTTAGGAGTGTGCTGCCTGGCAAGGAGCTGCATTGTTGGCTGATGCATCTGATCTTGCCTCAGGAACTGTATTTCTCATCTCCTATTTCCATTAAAGAGTTTCTCCTGCAAAAAAAAAGTGTCCTTCTTCATACAGGCTTCAAATAAGAAACCATCTAGAAGCACCACTTGACCTCAGAATTAGTCTTTGGAACTCTGGTTTTTGATATTGGACAGTTTTGTTCTAATGCAGCATTTCAAACATAATTTGATGAAATAAATCTTTTAAAATATAAATCCTTGCCCAAGCCTTTGAAGAACTGTTAAAAATGTTCCTATCACTGCCAGAAAACACTTTCACTCCTTCTGTAATCTGAAAAATGAAGAAATTTCATACCTTTCAAAAACCTGTAGTAGGTGTTATAGAGGGTCCTCATGGCCAGTTCTTGCAAAGGCAGGACATGATCTGTTTCTGTCCCTATAGATTTCACCTCTGCTGGCAGGAACACAGTTAACTGGCCTGATGAAAAAGAGAGCAGTTTCACCTCTGAAACTTGAATTGGAGAACCACAACTAGAAGGACACAAGACATTTAGAAAGTGGTTAGAAAAAAAATCATAAAAGTAACTTTACAGGGAAACCCAGATGACCAACCCAAAGTAAGCCTGATCCTGCTCTCCAGTGCAGCACCCCTCAAGGATTCCTTGCAGAGAGCAGTGCATGGTGGGGTTGACCTTTAAAGGTCCCTTCTCAAACTATTCTATGATTCTATGTTTCTACAGATTCCCACCTTCTGTGATGTGCTAGACACGGGACATTTGGAGGAATTACTCATCAAATAACATAAAGAGATGAGAACACACCCAAGGGGTGAACCACGTTTGCTACGTGCCCATTACTTTGCCACGTGACAATCTCTTTTAGCCTCTTTCAGTAAATCCTTTACTGAGGGGAGCAGTTTCCTACCCAACAGTTTGCTTCCCGTGTCTTGGATCAACCAGCAGAAAACAATCATGGATTTCTTAACCATAACACATGAGGCAAACTCCAGTCCCCCCAAAAAATGTATTTTAAGTGCCACTGGGTGATTCTGTACTACACCTTTCCCCATCCAGAGTTCCTTTGGAGGGCACGGGGTGGGCAGATAAAGGAAAAATAAAAACAACAGCCATGCTGTAGTGGGAAGATATCCTAATAAGTCTATAAGCCTTGCCCTTCCCAAATCATATATGGAAAGGGAAGGTTATTTGGATCCAGAGAGAGAAACTTAGCTTGTAGTAAAAATAATAACTCTTTACGTGATCCTTGTTGCGAGCGATCATTCCAGAGAGACACGCATAGGAAAATTCTACTAAGAGGTTGGGGAAGTCAACAGGGGAATTGGAATTGTTTATGACAACTGAAATTTGAAGCCAAGAGCAACTTGTTAGGGCCAGTCCTAACAAATGGAACAGAAACACAAATTTGTCAGCCTTCCCAGATATTAGACCTAAAACGGAGGTAACCACTCTCAACCTTATCAGATGTGAAAGAAGTCTCATAGCACTTCTCTGACAACAAAAATCTCATCTCTTCTGATTAAAGGAGAAACAGCCCAGAGAAACAACCAAAAAACAGCAGCATTAAACAGCAAGCAAGTCAATAAGCCTCTTGCTAAATATTTAATACTTTCCCATTAGTGAGGTTAAAATATAAGTGGGAATTCAAAGATCCAGTATTCCAATGATCCATTCCCAATGAGTTAGTTATCACAATAAATAAATCTATAATGTTGTATTTTCAAGCTGAATAACTCCATACCAACCTCACCAAGGAACAAACCCTGAACTCCTTACAGCAGTTCAAAGCTGGGATATTTGCTCTACTTTATGTAAAGGGTGAGGCTATTAATGCCACACATAAAATCCATGGAGGTTAAAAATTGGAATAGAGGATGGTCTTAACAGCTGGGGAAAAATAGGAGCTGCAGAAGAAGCCTGGTGGATAAATAAGTGAGAGGAAAAAAAAGCTGAGACCACCTATTGGCTGCCTTCAACAAGACTGACAAATCCCTAACTGGGGACTATGAAATCCAATCTGCAAAAAATAAGATCAAAATTTATTTTGAGTGCTGAGATCATCACCTCTCATATAAAAGACTTTTTTCAGTCAGTCTGACTGCAGGATGCCCAGACAGAGATTCAATACTTACACAAGGCAATTTATATTCTATTTTCAGAAATCAAGCTTTATGTCAGTAACAGCAGCTTGTCAGATTTTATTCTCCAGTGGAGGGCCAGACAGAGCACTAAAGCCTGGATCTTCAACTCTTGCCTGACCCATGAAAACCTTAGCCTGGTTACTAATGCTTTCTTGGAAAGAACACAGAAATTCTTCACATGACCATTATTACACAATTTTAAAGTCTCTTAGCACATTAACAAATAAAACCTTTGGTTTCTTAACAATATATATGTGCTCTTGTCCTACTGGAATTTTTTCTTAAAAATAATTTGTAATGTTTCAAGATGGTTTCACAACAAAGACAAGGACCTGTTTAGTGCACAAATACAAGCATTTTTCTTACTAGAAATTATCTCTTTTTACTATTCATTATTAAGGAAGAAAATCACTTTTCATTCCACAGAGGCATTACAAGAATCAATTTCATTGCAACACTTGCAACTCCTCTAGTCTCTTCTAGACCAGATTTTTAAGACTAGATTATATAATTCTGTACTAGATTTATAATATATATCAGAAACAGTAGCAGGTGGTCTCACCAGCACTGCACATTTAAGAACAGCAAAAAGAACTGGTAGGATCTTCACAAAGGTCAGTGCAAAGATAAAATTCTTTTCACTGAGTATAAAATGAAAACTTAAAAAAACCCCAAAAAAAGAAAAAGCCATGGTTGGTTGTTGTATAAAACCACCTGAAAGGCAGGGCAGTTGGACCACCTCCTGCATTATCATTACTATTTTTGGTCACATTCAATACAATTCTGTTAAATTTAAGGTCAATTTAATGTCTGTCTAACAATTTACAATCAGTTCTGAAAGAAAAAAGGCTAGAATTTCTCCTTCCTGAAAAACAAAATTAGTAAAAGCTTGCGAGTCACACAGTTCAGCAGAACTGTAATCCAACTGCAAGTATTTAAATATCACCAAGCAGCTGACATGGGAATATTAGAAAAACCTTAAAATGCCAAGACTCAGCATCTCCCATATTGCAGCAGAGTGCAGGCTGGAGAGAGGGAATTTATATTTAATGCGAGATCTGCTGAGAGTGAGCATACCAGAAATTTATAATTAGATGGTAATGGGGACAATCCTCTTCTGATCAGTTTTACACCAGCAAGGCTCCATTCATCAGGGGTGCTGATCCTAATTTATGCCAGTGTCAGGGCAGAAAGAATTAAGCCAGTGTCCTACACAGACCACTTTTTTCTTGCATTCTAACCACAAACATGAGACAGCCCAGGATATTTTTAAAATCCACATGTAAAAATAAACCTGTCAATCCATAACTCCTAAAAAAAGTCACTTTAGTTAGTAGGTACCAAGACCTACAAGAAGCTGATACTGGGATGGAAAATGCGTGAAGGAGCTGTACATAACTTTTCAAGATGTGGCCAACAACTTACAGAAATGTGAGCATTTAGAAACAAAGAGATGCTGCAATACATTAAAATGATTTTGTTCTTTCTTTAGTTCTGGGAATTCTATGAAGCCTACACTTTTGGCCAACTTTTAAAGTCAGCTCTAGACCTTACATTATTATTACAAATTCTTTCAGAGTAACTTCACTGTTATGCCTTAATACTAAAATAGTCAAAAGTCAGCAATTAACAGAAGATTTATTACAAAAATAAAACAGAGCAGGGAGCTGCAGTGATCCCCTCCAAGTAACATCAGCTCTGGGTCAATCACAGACACACAAAAAATAACTAGCTGCATCACACAGGAGAAGTTTTCCAAGGACAGGTACACAATGAATCTGAATGAATTCATACCTACCCACTGCAACCAATGACTTTATTATACAGATAAGATGGGAGGCCTTTCAGGTGAATGTTGTTATCCACATAAACATACTGGAGCTCTCGAGAACGACCTAAATCTGGGTTTAGAAAACAAGAAAAGTCAAGGGGAGAAAGGATGACATAGCGACAATTATAAGCAAAGCAATTCTCTTTAATTATAAATAAGCTAATCAGACTCAATGTAAGCAAACATAAATTAGTACTTCTCAGTTGTAAAATTTCAGCCAATGGTTTTATTATGGATGAGCTGAAAAGCTGTTTAGAAGCAAGCATTTCAAATTACTAAAACAAAACAAAGCCCCCTTTCAGAAGCCTTGAAAATCCCATTATAAATAATTAAATTTTAACATTGACAAACTCTGAAGTCAGTTTGAAGAAGCAAAGGGACAATTGATTTCAAATCCTCCGTGCATACTTCAAGTTCATAAGGTCAAACCTGCTTTCATTAACTGGCCTCATGTCAGTGAAATCACAGCTTCTCTATCTTTGGGAAAGTGGGCAAGACAGACACAAGAATGTGCTCTGTCCCCCTCCTCCTCTTCTCCAAGGAGAGATCCTTGCTGGGATTCATTAGCCTTAACCAAATACAAGTGCAGTCATTCAGAACCGAGTCTGTGCGGGGCAGGGAATTACAGAGCCCCAGAAAACAAAGCATTCAACTGCAGAATATCAGACATCAAAAGTTGTGGCTGCAATAAATGATCAATACTTCTGCAGGTGTGCTGATTGCATTACTGCTCTTAAAATATTCATGGCTGGTAGTCAAAAGAAGCAAGTACAGCATGATTAAGTAATGCCTTCGTGGACTAGAAATCTATTAAGATACCTCTGGATAGAAGCATATCAGTATGGATCTATTTTATTCTGCTTAGAAAATTAAAATTAAATGGGAAAATTTAGGTTTCTTGGAAGAATTCTCAGAAACGAGAATTTTGCTTATTAGCAAGGTCTAGTGAGTGGTAAAACTGTCTGCTATGAAAAGAAGTGAAAAACAAATGAGAGACATTTCAAAAAACACTAAACTGAACAAAACAGAAAAGTCTGAACGAGTTCTGGACTAACAAGAAAGCTGATGTGCAGATCAGCTGGGCAGCCCAGCTCATCTGACACTCCCATGCCCTTTGAGACACGGGGTAGGAAAAGGTTTCTGTGTTTAGTGCAAAGCACAAACCAGGAGAACAAAGTCTGGAAGCCTCTGCCTGGGATGGGAGAGCTGTGACCCAGACAAACTGCATCATGAAGAACACAAATAATCTGAGTGCCTCCCAACTTGTTAAACTTTCATGAGGACCTTAGAGAGACTAAGATAAACAAGCATTTGGCTGCATCAGCCACAGCAAGACAATACTAATATTGACTAATTCTGACTTCCATCTTTATCAGTTACCTTGGCTGGCAGAAATAAGGGTAACTGGAGAAATGGGCACAGCTTCTGTCCCCTTTGTAATCATGACCAAGAATAAAAATTAAAACACATCCCATGATATTTCTATTCAGAAAGTATATTTGGAATACTGATCTCTTCTCATTCTCTGCTACAACAATAGGTAACACAAAGCCTTCTTTATTACTGAATAGTTTTATCGTACACAGGAGCCCTAAATACCACTTAGTGCAGATATTTTGAGTGATCCCTCCCCAGATGTGTGTCCATCTGAAAATACACTGAATGTCTTCAGCTATCACCCACTCAAATGGCAGCTGTGAGCACCAGAAACCTTAAAAGTTTGTGCTGAGGAGTGGCACAACATCAAATCTTTGATGATACCAACAGAGAACCAAGAGACTCTTTTTCTAAAATAAAAGTGTTAATGGAGAAAGAAAAGAGTTTTGGGGTTTTTTTTCCCCTTTAACACAGACCCTTGCTTTGCAACAGTCTGTGGGGGTTTCAGGGACCATAATCTGGGCTTTGTTCAAAGCAGAGTCACTGGACATCAAGGGACACATTCAACCATCACATGCTGCTCTGACCCTGTCCCAGAGACATTCCAGCTCCCAGCACTGTCTGCTGCATCCATCAAGTGTCCTGCCTCAGGATGGGAGCACAAATCCCTCTGCTGACTGATGGCCACTGCTGGAGATGCTGCTGAGCATCACCTCAACCAGATGATTTATTTGGGCTCACCACTGCAGGGCTGAAAATAGTTCAGTGAAGTTCTGGGCTATTTTTAGATGAAACAAAACCCCATTGTTATCCTACAATGAATAAAAATACTGCAACACAGAAGCAATGTAAGACAATAAAATATTGTAAGGCTGCTGAGGAATCAGCCAATACAATTTAAAGCAGGTAGCAGGTGGATGGGACATGTAATGTTCAGAGAATGTACCCTTGTGTTGCAGAAGCCAGTTAGACTAAAACCAGCAGGAAACTATGGGTTGCTGGGGTAGCTTGAATGTGCTACTGTTTAACTTATTAATTTAGAGAATGGCAGAAAATTTTTAAAAGAGGCTCATCTTGCTGGTTTCTACACAGATGTATGCAAATGGGCTGAAAATCAGGCAAGTCAAAAAAAGCCCTAAAGCTGTTCTTTTCATATGCACTGAGAGGGGGGAGTGAGGCTGCATCTCATCTCTTCCCTCTGTCTTTATCTTATGCTATGTTTAGATTCTAAGTTCTGAGTTGACTGCATTTCCTAGGTAATTAAAGCAAATTTTTGGATGTTAGACAAAATATCTCAGTAGGAAAAATTCAATTCCCAAAGCCAAATAGCCTGTAACTATAAATGTTCCTTTGATAGAGTTTCTTTGCATTAAATAACCAAGCATCTTCTAGACTCCAAAAGATTTTTTTCTCAGTTTCAAACATTATCCATAAAGTTTAAATTTTAATAAATCATCACTTTGAAAGGCTCTTTGTATCCCATCCACATTAATTTTTATGTCTTATATCAGCCAACAAATATTGTTAAAAGTTCTCTAAAAACCATGCTTCTGAAGAACTCGGTGCAATAAGGAAGCTGCCCATCTCTGGAAAGGCTAAAGCTACAAAGAAGGTTTTCATGTGGCTTTTGCAAGCACTGTACTGTGTCTAAAACATTTCCACTTTCCTCCTTCCAGCCTCCCAGATCAAAGACCTCTCTCCCAGAAATGACCAAATGCCATGAGTCCTGAACAAACCCCAATTCTATTTTTTTTTCTTTTTCTCCCTCTTTTTTTTTTTCCTTTTTTTTTTTTAACCTCAGGGCCCTGGCATATGCATTCCACATGGCTGAAGATGGAACAAAAGCCCTTGTGTGGCTGCACTGATGCTCTTTTAACCATACTGTGAGGGCATGGACACAAAAGCAGCATATACTGAGGTAGAATAAGACCTTTGTTTACCACTGATAATTACTAGACCCATTTTCTAAATAAAAAGTGCATGTAAATCCTCAAATAAAGTGATATAATACTGAATATTTGCTGTCATAACATCCCCTATACTGCCAGTACACTTGAGAATTTATGGCCTATTTTAATTATATTTGTACTTTATTACACAAATGATTTTTATTTTTGCAGTGTCATCAGATTCACATTCTGCTTGCAGTGGAATTTGTTTTCAGGCACATGAGCACTCGCTAATGCTAAAACTTCAAGTTAATTTTCTGTCAAAAGATAATTTATGTTGTAAGTAGATTGATATACAATGATCAGCAGATTTCTAATACCATTTACTAAGGGAGCATGAAGTTACCATGACAATAATACAACTGATCAGGATGCAGCTTCCAGTTCAACTTATACATAGAATTTTTGGAGTTGTTCTTAAAAATCAGTTTCTTAGGAAGACCCAAAGGCCGAGATCCATAATGTCTCATTTCTTTCAGTATAAACTGAAATACTGAAAAATGATTTTTACAAAACACTGGCATATCCAAGATTTAGGTGTATTCTGCAAAACAAATTACTAATTCACTGTTGTTTACCCATCTGTTTGTTTATGGTCCTGTTCTGAAAGTCACAGAGTGGGATCAGGTATTTTTGCTGTATTTTAAAAGTGATTAACAGTGTTACACTGTTTTTTCCAAGACACATGTGCCTGCAAACTTTTAAAAGGATGTACAGGGCAAAGAAGCTCCTGATCCCTGTCCAGCAGGGCTGTGCTGCTGCTGGAATAAACCTTGCACCCATCAATGCAGGCACAGGAAAATGCAGATTTCCACTACATTCACACGAGGCTCTGCTGGCAGCTACGAGGGACAAACCTGGACAAGGCAGAACAGGCTCCTGGTTGACAGAGTAGATGTCACCCACAATGTGAAATAAATGAAGTAAATAATGCTCTAAAAAGCATTAAACAATTTGTTTCAAGCCTATTTCTTTTAACATGGACATATCTAATATAAAAGGAAAAAACCTCAACCATTCTGTCAGGGGATGAATAAATTCTCTGCTTTTCAACACAGCTCCCTAATTGCAAAAAATTGTTTTGACAATATTTGCTTGACTATCACTTGGAAGTATTTATGCAGTATTTTTCACCATTATTTAGCATCCTTATCAGTCATTAACTGGTAAAGTGAAGTTGGATGTAAGAATACACACAAAAGCCCCACCAGCCAACATGTGCAGCAAGCAGAAGTAATGCTACAATTATGTTTAACTTCAGCAATACTCCAAGACAAATATTTTCCCAAGCAACAGAAGATAGATTTAATCTTTTTGCTTTTCAATGCACTCTCTCTTCTACTTTATTTCATCACATCTTGACCACTCTGAAGCCTTCTGATTCTTCAGAGGAAGGATTAAACATTTACATTTATACTGTGCTGCTTTTCCTCTGAACTCTAGGATTTATGATTCAGTTTCATATCCACAGATAGCAAATTATCTCCAAATGTTCACCAGTGAGTCACTATTAAGAACTACTGAACAAGGTCAATTGACAGTCTTTGATGTTTCCCGTTATTTTAAAAGTTCCTTTTGAATGTTTTGAATTTGAGTCTAAAAATAAAGAAAAAAGAAGGTGTGTCATTATATTAGAGATTTATTTCCTCCTTTTGAACTTAAAACTTTGGCAGATCTATGGCTCATCCAGGTCACGGCTCGCTCACAGGTAAGCTACTAGTGCAGAGCAAAAGCAGCAAAAACTTTTATCCTTTAAAATTTCACATCTCATCTTACTGAAGTTTTGCAAAATTAAAATTGTTTAACTTCCTCTCTGATGGCAGTTAAAAATATTTGCCAAAATAAGGGAAGGCAATTTGCTTGTTTTAGTAGTGTGGAATCTGGATGATGCATCCTGGAACTCGTTTTCTCATTTATATAATGACATATGCTGGGACATAACTGCAACACTTTGTCTGGACACATTATTTGCACTTACTTTCCAGCAATAAAAACTAAGGTGATAAAAAATTCAGAAAGATCAGTAAGTTCTTTAAAAACTGAACTGCTAGTACTGAAAAGATTAAGTTAAACCTACACAAGGTAATTAATTTAGAAATTATGATCTCATTTTCAGCCATCTCAATTTCCAGCTTCTTTCCAATGTGATTATCATAACTTAATCTGCACCTAATTAACACCAAACTCTGTATTCTAGAAAAAGTATTAATGGCTGTTCAGATGGCAGGGCAGCTCTGCATGTGTGTCTGTATCCCAGCTGAGATCAGCCCGTGGCAGGGCTGAGAAGTGACAAGTTCAGGGAGGAGGATTTGTTTTCCCCGAAGGGAACACACAGTGACTGCCCCCAACAAACCCCCACACAGTCACTGCACCTCCCACTCCTGACCTGCTTCCACTCTAACAAATTTTCAAAGGCTTGAGCAAAAGGCTCATCAATTCCTCCCTGGGCTACTACTGTGGAAATTTTGATGGATGCCTGTACACAGCACAAACTAAACCTGCACTGGATTATGTGGTACTGACACTCCTAATGCTGAAAAGTAATTTATATGGAGTTACTGGGACTCCACAACAAGTTTTAAACCATACTTGAGGAATCTTAGTTAAATCATCAGATCCAGCAAACAGAAACAGATCATTACCCAAAGTGGTGGAACTCAGATTACACAGTACTATATTTAAGCACATCATTTAAACTTTTTCCCTGCGGTTAGCTAAAAATAAAGCAAATTTGATAGCTTTAAAAAAAAACCACAAAACCTTAACCTGCATTTTTTTTATTAACATATTTTCCAACAATATGATCCCTGTGACAGCTCCATAAACAGAGTCTGCGGGGACCACCAAAGAAACTCACTTGTTGCTTGGTTTTTCACGGCTGGGGCAGTTTGTTTTGCTGCCTGCCACCCCCCAGGTGGGACTCACCGAGGGGCAGGAAGGCCAGGCGGTTGCCAGCCATGGAGAGCTCGTTGAGGCTGGGCAGCTGGCACAGGTGGCGGGGCACAGACCACAGGTGGTTCCTGTCTGCAGTCAGGTACTGCAGGGAAAGGCACATGTGCAGCCTCTCGGGTAACGTCATCAGGCGGTTGGTGGAGATGTCCAAGGTCTGCAGCTCCCGCAGGTCTCCGACCTCTGCACAACAGGCAAGGCAATTGTAACTGCTGACACAAAAAAACCCTCACAACATTAAAATTAAAGCTCATCAGCGATGCTGCTTTTCTGTAGATACTGTTCTATCAATCCTGAGAACTGATACTGATTGGTGCCTTGTGAAGGCTGACCTAGAACAGACCTAGAGGCTGGACAGAGTAACAGAATAAAGTAGGGATTTATTCACAGGATCTCCTCAATGGATCCACCTTGGGCAGCACCAGAGCCCAGCCAGGGCTGCACCCAAGATGAACCAAAATGGCCCCAAAATGCAGGGGGGGGCCGGGGTTTTTTCCTTGGGTTCGGTTTTGTTCCTTTTGCCCTTTGCGTTTCTTTTTCCCTTTCCGGTTTAGCTCAGGCAGTCCCACCCTGCTTGTTTTTCTCTCTGCAGCCCACGTTGATTGTATTCTTGGGATTTGGATCATTTGTCCTTGGTGCCCAGCTGGATCAGGATTTGTTTTGTGTCCCTGCTCTGCACAGAGAGCTCAACATCCCTCACGTGAAGCTCAGAACTACAGACTAAAGCAGCACAGAACGTGAAAAATATAAAAGCTAAAACCTGAGGCATCATGCTAATCTCCATCATCTTCATGTATCAAAAAAGATTTGGAATATGAAGGTGATGGGGATTATCAGTATCAGTTAGGAACCTTTATCAGTATATTTGAGATCATTCATAAAGCATTCCTGAATTGGGACAATTACTACTGTCAAAATATCAAGCATTTTCCTAGACCAAAATTAAAACAATAGGAAAAAAAAACAAAACAAAACAAAATGCAAACAAAAACACATTACAAAGCTTGCTGATATTGAGAGTGTTTTGCACAACCCCAAACTTGGGAAAATTCAAAGGAATTTTTTTTAAAAATATTGAGGATGCAATGAGGGATTACTTAAGATTCTCTTGCAAGAAGAGTTACAAACACATGCATAGCACTTCTTGCTTAGTGACAGTCTTTCACCCAGCATGCTGGGGAAAAACAGCTCTGTCTTCATGATACAGTTCAAAAGGGCTAGTTTAAACTAGAAAAAAAATTTCTTAATAACTTGTGAGTGATATTGTTATGTGTTATATTGTAGGAAGATATTTCACTAAATTCTAATCTACTGTTGCAATAATTACAGCGTCTAGGAGTTTGGTTTTTCTTTTCTTTCAAGAAATCAAAAGTTGATTTTGTGTTTCAAATAGTATTGTATAATTGTTTTAGGTAGGTAACAAAATAAATTCTTAAAAGTGTGTAAGGCATGATGACATGAGCAGCCTCACTTGTGCAACAGTGTTATTCCTTGTGTCTGGCCTGTGAAACAGGATGCAGGACTGACTGACAAATACATTCAAAATATGTTAAGCAGCTCTGCAAGTTACCTCATTGTTTATTTAGTTATTCTTTCACAGTTACTCTAAAAACTGGATAATTCTATATATTATTTCCCTCAAACAGGAGGAAACCATAACATTTCCCCCAAACCTAGAGAACAGTTTTGCTTTGTTTTAAAAATACTTCACAGCAATGGAACCAACTCATCAAGTGCTCTGTGCCCCTAAAACTTGCTGCAGTTCTCAGCATCTTGCAGACCCAAATGTACTTTGCTCTCAGCTGAATGAAACCAGCTCTTGCATCTGAGAACTGCTAAAACAAGATTCACTAGAATCTTCTACACTGAAAACACCAGACAATCTACACAATCCACAATCTGTACAATTTACAGCTCTATCACCCAGATCTTTTACAAAGATATAAATAGGGTAACACTGTTTAAGTTAAAGTTAAACAGAACCTGTTGTGCCCTTAAGCTCTCTGCAGCAGGAGCTAGAAAATTCACTGTTCCCTGAGCTCTGAGGTTGCACCTTGTATACTACACACAAGGAAGGAAACCAAACACTGGGTTAACCCAAGCTGTCTTCTACACAATGGGAAAAAGAAGTTCACCTTGGGAGAAACTGCTATAAATGTTACTTTCAAGACTGGAAACACGAAAAGCAAAGAAAAGGAAGTTGTAATTCAGTATTAGAGATTTTCACACAAGTAATCATTAAACAAAATGCATGTGCACATTTAGAGGGAGTTTCTGCCCGCTGCAAACAATCCCAGCATCAACTACAATAAAGACTCAGCAACACAGTTTATGCATCCTTTTAGAAATATTACTGACAGAAGCAGCTGCCATACACAGATGATCACATTCTTCAAACCTCTTAGCTTTGAAGTCAACAGGAATAAGCTTCACTTGAAAAGGTTTGTTTTTTTTTTTACTACAGGATTGAAAGTAAATGACAAAAGGAAAATAATCACTACTAAATAGCACAAGACTACTGTGCAAAAAGCACTGCAGCAGATCTCATTTCGAAAGAGTTTTATATTCATCACAAAGCCATATGCTTGAAAACAGTGACAGGAAAAGAGCCACCTACATTCAGCCAAACCACTGACCACATGCAGTCAATAATAGGCCCAGCTATTTTCATGCACTAACCTTTTTCTCTGCCACTAAAAACAGTTCTCTAGTTCAGTTTAGGTCCAAAATCCCATAAATGTTACGGTTGGCAAAGCTGGCAGAGTTTCAAAGGCATTGCTAGAATGATATGTTTCAAATCTAAGAGGAAATAAAAGTATTCTCACTTTATCCTTCATCCAAAAAACACATACCCAAAACTTCATCCTCTCTACCTTAATCTCCCAATGCATACCAGATGTAAACATCCACTTTCAACATCCAGTGCCACATGTTGCACAAACACCCACTGACCCACAGTGAAGTTTTAAGACTAAGCCAAGCAACAAAGTGCCATCACATTGAGGACATAACCCTCATATTAAAGGTATAACCCCCAGACTCCCCACCATAGTGCTCAAAGCTCAGTTTGGAGAACGTGCTCAGACACTTACTAATGACACTAAATTGGTTTTCATCTCATTAAAGCTAAGGGAAACAATTAAGAGGAATAACACAAATATAAACAGTCCATTAATAAGTTTTTCAAGCTTTTAGTTACTAAATACTATTATCCTTGCTTTTAAAGTCTTGCAGCATAAATACTGCAGGAAGCCTTGGCTAACAAACACGGTGAAGGACTTGCAAATCTCTCTTTTGCTGTCAGCTCATCAAGAACTAGGATATACCAGGGGTGAACTTTAGAAATTTACAGCAGATCCAGAAAAGAAAATGGCAATTCCCAAACAAAAAGAGCTGACAAAGGGACTTTCAGAGATTCCCCCAGCACCCCCAAGGGTAAGAAAGAGACAAGAATTATACATCACCATTAGACCACACTGAGGAGTTCCAATTACATTTAAATGAAATTCATAAAAGTCTAATTTAAAATTTATATTAGCTCTAGGGTTAACACTATCAAAATCAACACAGCAGAGCACTGAGCCCCACTCTGATACCAG